GACAGGATTGACAGAATTGAGTTTTGTGTTCACAAAATTGAGTTTTGTGGGACAGGATTGACAGAATTGAGTTTTGTGTTCACAAAATTGAGTTTTGTGAGACAGAATTGAGTTTTGTTAGACAAAATTGAGCCCTGTCCTGCATGGCGCCCCGTACATGGGATAGCGCAGTGGAACTGCGTAACGTAAAGACGGCCCAGGCTGTCCCTTCACATATGCTACGAAGCAGTAAATGCAGATAATACCACATTTTCTTTCTATAACTATATTCGCCAGCTAAGACAGAAATCATTGTGAATCTGTTTTCAAAGTCGCATGTATATGATCAAATCTATGCTGTTTTCTATTACAGAGACAGGGCCCGCAATTACAAAAGGTTGTGCACTTCGGCCGTGCGTCATGGATTCTGCCCAAAGTCTCGCACTGGGTTGCAACAATTGCATGGAGTGCTGTCAGGAGGACCTTTGCAATCAAAAAGGAGGCGCGCCAGATTCGCGCTCATCCTTCGTACTTATGTGGAGTATCGTTACCTGTGGAGCGATCCTGATGCATTTCTATTGAAGGCTCGGAAGGAAAGAGAACCCCGGTGGTTACAAAAAGAATGCGCAGCGGTAGTTAAAAGCAGGAAAACTACCGCAGCACTACCAGGCAGAAGCAAACACCTGCGTCAAACTCCAAGTCGGGGTAGTGTCCTCATCGGGGTATATTGTACCCCTGCTACGTCCAGGTGCATGACCTCCGCCGATTCTGTCATCCGCTAGCATTTTAGTTCTTTGGCGTCATTCACGTTTTACTTATATGCAGCCATAATATCCATGCTAGTTTATAATAGCTTAGTCAGGACCTTTATCATCTATGGTTATTGCTCATGTGTTTGGCGCGCGACAGTTTTGCGTACTGCGATGAATTTGCAAACATTGCTTCCCATAAATAATCAATGCATATATGCCTTCGCGTCGTAATGTGTCACGTGGTCGTACGAAAAGCTGTTTACTGGCTGTGGAGCATATGCTGCACCAATGATGTAACCATCTCCGCTTGGCAATTGCGAATGAGTGTCTGGTTTTTCTGCCATACATACTCCCTACTTTCATTACAATTGTCTCCTTTATATCTGTAATTTCTCTGTGAGCAGTTATAACAGAATCTTGATCGAGGTGTTGTAATTATTAATAAGCAAAAGTAGTGAATAGTGAAAAATCGCAAACTATTGTATCAGACGCTTTAAATTTATATCACGTTATTTTTGTTACACGACAATTCATTTCGAAATAGGCTCAGTTGTTTTGATTAACAGAGACGATTCAGAGACGTCATGAAGGTACTGTACGTCAATTTTCCTATAAATTTAATTCACACAGTCAAGATTCAGACCACAAATCTGATTCTCATAGTATACGTATGTTATTTAATTTTCGTTTTTATATTTGGTATGTGTAATATGTATGAACACAATATTAATACATATGATATCTGAAAGTAACATAGATTAGAACGAAAACGTCTTCATAAATATGTTGTGCTCTATGTCCTAGCAAATATTTGAATTATATATATATATATATTATTATATATATATAGATAGATAGATATTAATATTGAGAGAGATGTGGTGTGTAAAATATATACAGTCTGCTTATAAGCTAGCTATCCATACATGCACGAACGCATTCACGCACACACGCTCATGACAATACATAACATACCATTCAAACATCCAAACATTTTGACGATTGGAACCACAAAGGCACGCACGGACGCACGTACGAACGCACGCACGCACGCATGCACGCACGCACGCACGCACATCTATGTTCGCACATGCCATACACACAACGTATACACGCACAAAATGTAATACACCAATGTATAGACAGTAAGCTATTATCGTGTACGTTTTTTATATTTCAAGACATTGGTAATTTTCAGTACATTTTGTTGTCGCGCGCTTAAAAACCATCAATAATATGCTGATGTTTCTAAGATGTTTTGATACACGTATCAGCTAAACCGAATTTCAATAAATCGTTATAAGACAATCGCATGTATGACGTTATATGTATCGTAAGTGTTACTATCTTCGTTGATCGCGTTAATATAAAAATCAAAGGTATATGTGAGAAAAAAAACATGGGGTTTTCCTCGCGTATAGAAAGTGCCATCCCACGAGCACTTCTAGCAGATATAGGCAGCAGTAGTGTTTTAGTGTACACCGCGTCCACACCTCCCTCGCGGTGCTTTTGCAATGGTCATGTATAGCGGTCCTATACGTGCACCAGGCTAGCTCCATATGTCGTTAGCTGAAACCAACGACTAAGTACACACAGTCATACTAAATATATTAAAGTATACTAAAATATACTCATACTAAAGTACACACACGCATTCTTATGTGACGGGTAGCTTTTGGGGCAGGGGTCTATTTTCTATGACGAGAACTAGCTGTCTGTTTCAACATGTGCCGTAATCTTTTCAATAGCTTCTCACGCGGCTTCTTACCAGGTGCTGCTAAGGGATGGTATAGTATTTTATAGGAATTTCTAAATATATATGTAGGCTAGACTATATATAGGCAGGGGTTAATAATAACAAATATTTGTCATTATTAACCCCTGATATAGTCTATATACAGGTATGGTGATAAGGAGTTTCACTAGAACCCACAGCTTTATAATATTTCTTTAATACCCCTTTTATAAATGTGTGTTCCGTTAAGGATCAGCAGGACATGCCATGATGATGATGATGATGATGATGATGCTGATGATGATGATGATATAATAAAGTTATTAACTATTCTTAATAAGAATATAGATATCGCAATGCATGTTTTGAATATAATGAACGGCTACCGCTACTGTATAGGTTTTCACATGGGAATAAATTATCCACTTTTCTCATGTCCAACTCCATGTTGTGTTTGCACATATAAATGACATGATATGTTTGATTTGATTCACTGACGAGAGGAAATGCATACCAAGATGACAAAACAGATTCGTGTTAGCTAGGTCAGGTGACGCTAAATAGCGGCTGCAACCAATCAAAGCGCGACTTGCGGCAACACAATAACGGCGTACACGTTTACTTTCTCGTACATACAGATATGTGCGTGAGCGTGCTTATACGCACGCACGCATGCACGCGCACGCGCGCATACACGTAAACATGTGTGCATATGGAAGTACGATAATGCGCGCGCGTGATAGCAAAACGCTTAGACGGATGCTTAATAATGCATATCTAAACTACCAAGTGTTATTGTCTGCCTGCCTACAAGCCCGTGCAAGCGTGTAGCATTTCGTCACGTTTGGAATAACGGCGTAATTAAGCAACCGCTAATGCACACCGTCGACCTATACTTGTGCGGATAATTAATAATGCACGGCATTTTATGTTGGTATGCACTATAGCTGATCTGTTGTTAGAAACACAATTAACCCCCCGCCAAACGACGCTGCGTCGCCGTTTTAACGACGACAGGCCGTCGCAAAGCAAATCGAAAAAATAGCGCACGCAATATGTCATCATTATTATATTACCGGCGTAGGTACGTATTTCTGCAATATAATCGTCCGCATAACAGACATTTTCACTCATCTTCGGTTCCTAGCATTTTTTCCTCGGCTCATTGTTAAAAACCGTTCACTTATCACAGTTGGTAGGACCTATAGTTATAGGTGAATTTATAGTCTCATCTTGTTTTGCAGTTAAACAAATTCATCTCAAATAACACGATTTGTACTTTTTGTGATTTGCCAATGCAAATTACACTGAAAAGCATAGAAATTCGACAATGTACAATGATGAAAACAAACTATCCGGCATCTTTCGCATCTACAGAAATGACATTTGGTACCCTCGAGTGGAACCCTGGTTAACAACCGTTACACACCAACATTCCTAATAAGACAACAAACTATGGAATCGATACATTATGTAGTGTTCGACCAGGTTTACGGGTTTCTGCACGAAATATATCACATACTGCGCATCGCTAGCAATAACGTGTCCTACACGCTAACTTGCCAATCAATATTCATATTATTGCGAACCATAGTCGAATGTTAGTAAACCCCTAAGCGACTAAGCGATAGATACCTTGTTTAAAATATAAAAATTCATTATCAGTAATCGTACTGCATGAACCTAATTACGCAATTAAAGGGTTCGCTAAAAGCTGGCAGGTGACCGTCTTTGCCGCCTGCAATATTATTCCCATGGGTCGTACGATTGAATTTTCTTTAAAGAAAACAACCATTATAATATGTAGTAATAATAGGTTATCGATAATTCATGCACCTTTGCAATGCACCCTCGTAATGCACCTTTGCAAGGTCGAGATGTAATTCGCAAATTAATATAGCTGAAGAATGAAACGGCATTAACGAGGAGCACTTAATTGAACAAAAAGTTTCAAATTTTCATCTTTGCCCGAGCGATTCTTGCTGCCTCGCAGAGTCAGATGAGGTTAAAGACACGCACACACGCACACGCACAACACGCACACGCACACGCACCACCACACACCACCCACACAACACACCACACCATCTACACACGCACCCCAACACCACAACACCTACACAACACACACACCGCCGCTCGCACGCACGCGCAACGCGCCGACACGCACACTAGACGCACGCACGCGCACATACACACAACACACAACCACTACATACAACAACACCACACAGACACACACCCACAACACACACACACACAACACACCAACACACAGAGAGAGAGAAGGAGAGACGAGAGGAGAGAGGAGAGGAAGAGAGGAGAGGAAAGAGAGAGAGAAGAGAGAAAAAGAGCGAGAGAGAGAGAGAGAGAGAGGAAAAGAGGAGATACGCGCTTATGGATTGCGATAGATGGAATAGATGCATGGAGGATGGATGGATGGAGGGTGGATGATGGTGGATGGTATGGATGGATGGATGGAGAGGAATGATGGATGGCTGGATGGATGGATTGGATGGAATATGGATGGATGGAGCGTATGGGTGGATGATGGTATGGATGGGATGGATGGATGGATGGATGGTATGGATGGATGGATGGTGAATGGATGGATAGCTAAATGAATGGATGGTGGATGATGGATGGATGGATGATGGTCATGGATGGCATGATGGAGGATGGCTGGATGGTGGAGGATGATGGTGGATGGTGATGGATGTATGATGAGATGGATGGATGATGGATGGTTGAATGGATGGATGGATGGATGGATAGATGATGATGGATGGATGGTGGATGATGGAGATGGAGGATGATGGATGATGGATGGATGGATGGATGGCATGATGATGGATGGTGGATGGATGTGATGGAGAAGGGTGGATGGATGGATGGAATGGACTGGATGGTGGAATGATGGATGAGGATGGAGGATGAATGGAGGATGGATGAATGGATATGGATGGATGTGGATGGGGATGATGGCATGGCATGGATGGATGGAATGGAGTATGGGATGGCATGAGATGGATGGTGGATGATGGATAGATGGATGGAATGGGATGTATGGAATGATGGTGATGGATGGACGGATTAATGAATGGATGGAATGGATGGGTGATGGTTGATAGATGGATGGATGGATGGATGGGTGCACTGGATGATGGCTGGATGGATGGGGTGATGGATGGATGGATGGATGGATGGTATGGTGGATGGATGGCACTGGTTGATGGAGTGATGGATGAGATGATGTGAGGATGTAGATGGAGGATGGTATGGATGGCATGATAGATGGATGGATGGTAAATGGAATGGTGGATGGATGCATGATAGATAAGGATTCATGGATGGATGGCTGGATGCGATAGATGGTGGACATGACTGGTGATGGATGGATGGAGATGGTGGATGGATGGATGGATGTGATGGTGGATGGATGGATGGATGGATGATGGGATGGATGGTGGATGGATAGGATGGGAGATGGATGTAATGGATGGCATGGAATGGATGGCATGATGGATGATGTATGATGGATGAATGATCGGATGATGGATGCATGGATGGTAGGCATTGATGGATGGATGATGGATGATGGTGAGATGGATGGATGATGGATGGATGGATGGTCAGGCATGGTGGATGCTGATGGATGGATGGAGGATGGATGATGGTGGCATGGATGGCAGGATGGTGATGGATGGCATGGAATGGATGGTGGAGTGGTGGAGATGGCATGGATGGATGATGATGGATGGGATGGTGGATGTTTGTGATGGATGGATGGATGGATGATGGATGGCATGGATGGATGCATGGGAGTGGATAGAGGATGGATGGATGGAGGAATGGGATGGCATGATGGCATGGCATGGATGGTTGGAGATGGGATGGATGGATGGATGGATGGATGAGGATGGATGCATGGATGGATGGATGGATTGGAGGATGGATGGCATGGATGTGGATGGATGAATGGATTGGATGGATGAGGATGGATGATGATGGATGATGGATGGATGGATGGTGGGTGGATGGGATGGAGGATGGTATGGATGGACTGGGAATGGATGGATGGGATGGCGATGATGATGGAATGGCTGATGGTTGGGAAGGGATGGATGGATGGATGGATGGTATGATGTATGGCATGGATGGATGGATGGATGGATGGAGGGGGATGGATGGATGGATGGATAGATGATGGATGGATGGGGATGAATGAATGGATGGATGGATGGATGGATGGATGGATGGATGGATGGATGGATGGTGAATGTGGATGGATGGATGGATGGATGGATGGATGGATGGATGGATGGATGGATGGATGGATGGATGGATGGATGGATGGATGGATGGATGGATGGGTGGATGGATGAAAGGATGTCTCTACTGGCTAGTTTCACTGTGCTCACGACATTGCCGCGAGAGAGCTGAAGTGCGAAGAGATCACTGTTCCCATGTGTACAGGGATCTGGGACAGCCTGCCACGCTTGCCTAATATGTTACACTAATGAACTAAATTACTATGTTAAACTTAGAGTAATTTAATCAACACCCAGGATTT